ARGGSMWWAMMAWTTWRKAAWWAAWTKSYKGSMRGRAAWWARKTMWYYTWWTTWAAAAAATTTTTCATATTAGAAATAGCATTCATAGCTTTTGTTGATCTTTTAATTACCTGTTTTGATTTTTATTATTTCAGAACTCTGTAGTATTGCTTAAAATAAAACCAATGCTTTTTAATTTCTCATGTTTTACACCTAAAAGGAGGAGGAGGAATTGGCAATAAGCACTTCAAAATGCAACTGCCAGAAGTTAACAGATTTAATGACATTTCCATGATAAAGTTAGCGAGTTGTTGCTTAAAAAAAATTAATGAGGCTATTCTGGTTTTTGCTAGAATACTCAAAAATTGTGTAAGTGTTTTTAGCAGAGATTTCAAGAATGAGTAGAATTTTGTAAAGTGCAGTTCAGGTGGAGGAATCAAAAATGTGATGATTGTGTAATCCTTCCATTGGAAGGCAAGAACATTCGAAGTCTACCCCAACTTATATATGACCCCAGAGTCATATATAAGAAATTGAAAAGTAGGTAAAYGGATATAAGGAAGGGGTGAAGAAGTTGTGAACAAGGTGGGATTCCAGAGCTGTGAATCTCCTTAGTCAAGTTCCAGATTGATATTTTAGGTTCTCTCTGATTAATGATGTGAATTACTTTTCCTCTAACTTTGAAATTATAATAGTTGAAAGAATTCTTGTATATTAACTTTTGTTGAGTATTCTCATATGCATGGATATATACTATTTATTTCCTGACGTGTTTGACAGAAAGCTGCAGACATAATAAACCATTTACCTCAACACTGTATTTTTTTTCCTTGGTATGGAGGCTTATTTTAATTAGCAGTTAATCAAAATTGGCAAGTCTTATACTATCACAATTAATTTTGATGTTTTTATTGTCCCAGATTCAACGATTGGTATCCTGTGTGCTTTTGATACATCGGGTTTTGAGTATGTGCATACTTTATGGCTAAGAAAGATTTTARGAGCATCATTGGCTTTTTCTTTCCCAGTCCTGGAATGTGCCATTTCTTTARGAATCTGTTCCTTACAGTGGACAATGTTATTTAGAATGCAAGTCCTGGATGTGCTTGTTTCTGGGGTGTTTCTAGCCCCTTTCAGATGAAAAACTTAGAAATTGTACATCAAATGCTTTGAAATTCAATCCAATACTTAATATTTGTCCTAGTCTTATCAAGTCTATACTTGTAACTACCTTCAAATAAATGAAATTGACTGATCCAATAAGATTATAGATGAAGTTATTCTATAGGAATAAAACATGATGAACAAAAATGGGAAAGATGGAATTTTAGATTTAAAACCTTAAGTCCCTGAACAAATATCTAAAGTACTTTTGGAACCTGATCTATCCCTCTATGTGAGAATTTAGTAAATGTG